GAATAAGTAGATTACTTTCCCATCTAGACCAATCAAGTTCTTGGCAAGGCAACTGATAATTCTGGTTATTGAAATATTGTCAATTCTGGGTGTTGTCATCTTGAGAAGACAAGCATAGATGAGTTGAACTAGGACCATAAGGGCGAACCTATGGCACGCATGCTGGAAATGGCACACAGAGCCATCTCTCCGGGCACGCAAGCCATTGCCCATTGCTCTTCTGGGTTCCGGCGTGCTGGCCAGCTGGTCTTCATGCTTGCGGGAGCACCAGAAACTGAAAGAGCAGCCACCCAGTGCGCATGTGTGCGCCAGGAAGATGATCTTCTATTTTATGGTGTGCACATGCGTACTGGCCAGCTGGTCTGTGCACACGCATGTGAGCCAGAAACTGGAAGACCAGGTGGCCAGTGCGCATGTGCATGCCGGAAACTGGAAGATAATTTTCCCAGCGCACAGCTGCTCTTCTGGTTTCCGGCACACACACGGGCACTCTCGTTTTGGCACTCAGTGCCAAAAAGGTTCACCAGCACTGAACTAGGAGCTAAGTTGCTTGTCTTAATATTTTTCCAACAGAGCATTATTGTCTGTAGAGGTTTCACCACTGTCATTTCAAATCAATGCCATCATTATCTAACATTCAGAGATGATCAAACCGGTAGTGCGAACCGGTAGCGCTGGCAGCAGGAGGCTCTGCCCATCCACCGGGACATCATTACATCCTCTTTTTTACCCTCTGCACATGCGCAGAAGGCTCTGTGCATGCACAGAAGAGGCGCACGCGCGCATAGCTCCCGTTCCCGAACTGGTAGCGAAGGTAAGTGGATTTCACTGCTGGATAAAACTGCTGTATTTTGGACAGCTGCTTGGAAGCAACCCTCTTTCAGGAAAGTAGGATTGGATTCCTGATAATCAGCCATAAACTGGGCAGTACTTCTGGGCATTTTCTGCTCAAGAACATAATAATTCAACTTGGAAGAAACAATTGCAAGCAAGCCAGAATCAGAAAGTGATCAGTTGTACCTTAAGTATAAATCAATAAATGTGGCCTTGACCTCTGTTTATTTTGAGCAACGCCAACTCTTCTCCAAGTCATAGGTCTTTATTAGCTTGTTCATCAACCAAAGTCCCTTCCCTTCCTGACGTTAACACCATTGCTGTTAAACAGGAAATAGCAAGCAAGTGTGTTGTTGATTTAAGATTTCTGCAGCTCAGTCAAAGAAACTGGTATTTGTCCAGTTTCACAAGAACAACTTTTATAGTTCCCAGTGTCGTTCTTAGATTCTGATACTGTTTAGTGATGCGAGGGCAGCAAGATTTTTTTTTCTCATCCCAAGAAATACAGCTATTTCTTTGGTGGGATGTTCCAATCAGATAAGTAGGAATTTTAAAAAGTTGTGTTGCCTCTTAATTGTAGGTCCCGTGGGATATTCTTTGGACACATTTTCTGTGGCTTGCTTGGCATTCCTACTGTTCCAACCAGATCAAGAAGGAAAAATGAACTTTGAACAGGTCATAAATGCTGGTTCTGAAGGAGTCCTGTGGAAACGCAAAAGACTTTTCTATGGGATGAAATACACTCCAGCACCCTAAGTGAATAATTGCAAATCTTGAAGGCTTGCTCTCTTATCATAGGATGCAATGTCCCTATTACTGTACCAGTTCAAACTCAATTTCCTGAAATTGAGCCATTTCCTGAAACTCTAGCTCACGACTCGGCTGATGACCTGGTGGCCGCCTGGGATAGTGCGGCTGCCGGGGCTTTGGACCGGGTCATGCCTTTGCGGCCTCTGACCCGGCACCGAACTCACTTAGCTCCTTGGTTCTCCAAGGAGCTGAGAGAGATGAAGCGCCGGAAAAGACGCCTAGAGAGCGGTTGGAGGGCCAGTTGTTCCGAATCCGACTTGACACTGGTAAGGTCTCATATTAAGACCTACCTAGTGGCGATAAAAGCAGCGAAATCTAGCTATTTTGCCGCTCTTATCGCGTCATCAGATAACCGCCCAGCCGCCCTGTTCAGGGTGACCCGCTCCCTTCTCCATCTGGGAGCGCGGGAGGACCCCTTGCAGGGCCGAGCTGAGGATTTTGTACAGTATCTGGATGATAAAATAACTCAGATTCGGGAAAACTTGGCCACTGACTGGGTTAGTTCAGACGAGATGACTGAGGCAGGCCTTGAGAATGTTATCTGGGAGGAGTTCGATCCTGTGGCTCCCGAGGACGTGGACAGGATCTTGGGACGGCTGAACGCCACCACATGTTTATTGGACCCGTGTCCCTCCTGGTTGGTGCTGGCTTCCCGGGAGGTTACACGAGGCTGGCTCCAGGGAATTATCAACGCTTCTTTGAGTGAGGGTGTCCTGCCGGCCGCCTTGAAAGAGGCGGTGGTGAGGCCTCTCCTCAAGCAGCCATCCCTGGATCCGGCTGTTTTGGCTAACTATCGTCCAGTCTCCAACCTTCGCTTTATTGCGAAGGTTGTTGAGAGTGTGGTGGCGCGACAGCTTCCACAGTACCTGGATGAAGCTGTCTATTTGGATCCGCTCCAGTCCGGTTTCAGACCTGGGTACAGCACGGAAACGGCATTGGTCGCGTTGGTGGATGATCTCTGGAGGGCTCGGGATAGGGTTTATTCCTCTATCCTGGTCCTGTTAGACCTCTCAGCGGCTTTTGATACCATCGACCATGGTATCATGTTGCGCCGGCTGGAGGGACTGGGAGTGGGGGGCACCGTTTTGCGGTGGTTCTCCTCCTATCTCTCCGACCGGTCGCAATCCGTGTTGACAGGGGGGCAGCGGTCGACCCCGAGGCGCCTTGTTTGTGGGGTGCCACAAGGGTCGGTCCTCTCGCCCCTCCTGTTCAACATTTATGTGAAGCCGCTGGGTGAGATCATCCGTGGTTTTGGGGTGGAGTTCCATCAGTACGCTGATGATACTCAGCTGTACATCTCCACCCCAGACCATCCCAACGATGCCTTGGAAGTGATGTCCCAGTGCCTGGAGGCCGTGCGGGTCTGGATGGGGAGAAACAGGCTCCGACTCAACCCTTCCAAGACCGAGTGGCTGTGGCTGCCGGCGTCCCGGTATAGCCAGCTGACGCCATCGCTGGTTATTGGGGGTGAATCATTGGCCCCCACGGAAAGGGCCCGCAACTTGGGCGTCCTCCTGGATGCACGGCTGTCCTTAGAAGGGCATCTGACGGCCGTGGCCAGGGGGGCTTTTTATCAGGTTCGCCTGATACGCCAGTTGCGCCCCTTTCTGGATCGGGACTCCCTACGCACAGTCACTCAAGCACTCGTCACTTCTCGTCTGGACTATTGTAACGCTCTCTACATGGGGCTCCCCTTGGGGTGCACCCGGAGGCTCCAACTGGTGCAGAATGCGGCCGCGCGGGGGATTATGGGAGCGACTGGGCGCTCCCATGTGACTCCTCTCCTGCACGAGCTGCATTGGCTTCCGGTGGACTTCCGGGTGCGCTTCAAGGTGTTGGTGACCACCTTTAAAGCGCTCCATGGCTTAGGGCCGGGGTACTTACGGGACCGCCTTCTGCCACCAATTGCCTCCCACCGGCCAGTTCGCTCCCACAGAGAGGGCCTCCTCAGGGTGCCGTCGGCTAGACAATGCCGGCTGGCGACCCCCAGGAGGAGAGCCTTCTCTGTGGTGGCACCTACCCTTTGGAACAATCTACCCCCAGAGATACGAGTGATCTCCGGCCTCCGGACCTTTCGTCGGGCCCTAAAAACTCATCTCTTTCAGTTAGCCGGTCTCTCTTGATTTTATGATTTTATGGTTGGTTTTAAATTTTGATATGGATTTTAAATTGATAAATTTTAAACTATGGGCCAAATTTAATTATTTTAAATCTATTTTTAATCGTATTTATGTATAAATGTTTTTATTTTGGCTGTTCACCGCCCTGAGTCCGATAGGAGAAGGGCGGTATAGAAATTCGAATAATAAATAAATAAATAAATAAATAAATAAATAAATAAATTAATTAATTGTAATGTTATGATGGCTCTACAAAAATTTTTATTTTGCAAGTGTTACATGGACGAGCACTGGCACACATACTTTGTACCAGTATGTTATACTGTTCTAAGAAAGCAGATACAATGCAATTAGCTAAGGATGAACAAACGTTCTTGGTAAATAGAAATGGAAATTATCATATTTGTCCACTGAAAAAACAAAGCTGAAGTTGTATCTCGTAAGATACAGGAAGTGCTCTTCAGGCTCATAACAGGGAGTAATTAGTAAACCATAAACATTTAAAAATAGGATAACTTATTTCTTGTCCTAATGTGATTTTCCAAGTTTAGTTTAAAAAGATGCAAGTTTTATTGTTAAAGGACTGGTGATCTCATTAAAGTATTTTTACAATATGCTGAAACTTGAATATTCATTTTTATCAATGAACCAAATAGGTCTCGTTCAGCTGTTTTGAAACGCATGGGAAGAACCATTTATATTTCTATGCTCAATTGGAAAAACATCCTGCATTCTACAACTGTTTAATTGCTTTGAATAATTCCAGGAATTCTTTTTTCCCGATAGGATAAGTCTAGTCCTATCGGGAATGCAATTAACTCATTTTTTTAATCCTTCTAAACATCTCAGAGCTGTTGATGATTGGACCAATATTGGCTTGAAATTTAAATTTTAAATGAATACAAATAATTAACTGGAGTAGACACTCAAATTTATTTTAAAAATTTGAGTGGGTATTTTCACCTTGAGGGTTTTCAAATTGAGATAATAAATTCTAAACAATTGGTGGGATAGCATTTGTACAAAAGTTTGCTTTCTTAAGTATCAAGCAGATTTATTTTGTATCATTTGTTTGAACCAAGTTCATTAACCTTTGCCAAGACAAATGTTCATCACATCAGATACTTTCGGCTGCATTGGCTCCCACAGGCAGAGTTTTGGAAATCTGAGCTGAGGCACTTTCAGGCTGGTGGTCCTGATGAGCACAACAGCAAGAAAGTTTAAGAAGGTACTTACCAGTCATCAGGGTGTAATAGTTTGGATAAGAAAGACTGGGGAAGTCGGGGGTTAGGTAATCCACTTTCACTCCCCTGCTGACAATCTCTCTGAAGCCAGGCAAAGACTCTAGTGCTTCCTCGGAGAGATAATCATGTCGAAACCCATCAAGCAAAAACAGTAGGAGCTTTGGCTGTGCAAGAGATGAGCGTACCAGGGTAAGGACTAGCAGAAGACACACAACATATGTTGCCATGTTGCTGGATGGAGGCTTGCCTGAATCTTCTCTGTGCTCTTAGTCCGTATGTTGTTGCTCTGGGGGAAAAAATCCATCTGTAGTTCTTTTTTTTTCCCCAAGGGCTGGACCTCACAGTTCTCGGGATTACCCCAGAATTTAAAGGTACAGCAGCACAAATTGAACTTGCCAGACTTTCCAAATTACGGCCTACTTACCAAAAGGCTTTGAACTTTGCTACTATGGTTGCTTGCGCTCCAGTAGTGAATACTAATTATAGAACAAAAGAAGCAAGAAGAAGAGTGAGCCACAGGGAGAAGCTGCATGCCTTCTGATTCAAGCTGCTTCCCTGCCTTACAAAGAGTTAAAAAAGCATTAATACAGAGTCTTGTTTCTTAGATGTCAGGTTTTTCAGACCAGTGGATAAATTTGAAAATGTAATCAGAGTCTTAGCTTTACAATCAGCAACTAACTATAATTTTAACCTGAAGGATGATTAAATTTTTAAAGTTTGAATGTATTTGTTAAGATCATATACTTGTAATTTTATGAAGAGATTTGTTTACTAATGGATCAATGTATGGGAGATATTTTTATCCTAGTGACTTCTTGTGTTTACAAACTATTTTTAAAGACATTTCTAAAATGCTTTACTGACTGGTAAACTGCAATCATTTTCTCTCAGGCTGAATGGCTTTTGTTGAGGGGAAAAATGTAATAAATCCAAACAATAGTAAAAGCCATTGAGCCAGTTTCACTAATGCTATCATAGCACTATGTATATAAACGTTGTATTGAAAGAGGGGACCATGGAGGCCCCCTAGAAATTTTTTAAATAATCTTATTGCTTTTAAAATAACAGAAAAAGATAATAAAACATAGAGGGCAAACACAAAGTTATGTACTTTATATATAAAAGACAAGTGGTGTAACAATCAAAATAGCTGCTTGTAGAATGTTTCATTGATGAGACAGCTTATCTGAACTAGCTTAGGTCGCCATAAAGACTAGTCCATCATGAAGGTAACTTTTCCACATACAGTAAACGAAGGTGCCATTAAGACAAAGTGGGCTCTGAACTCCTGGTATACTGGAAAAGACTTTGATTCATTAGCTGCATGTTTGTGGTGGATCTGATTGCCATAACTCAGTTCAAAGTTCAGGCCAAGCTGTTTCTTCAACGATGTTTCAGCTCAGAGTTCCATTCCTACATTTTTTAAAAGTCTGGTTAATTAATTATAAAGCTACAATTTATTTATCACCAGTTTACTCAAGATTGATCTACTCGGGATCCCACTCAACTCATCCACCTTCATATTAATTTTTATTTCACTTCCCAATCTAGCCTACCGCCCTTGTGGTCTTCCATGCAAATACTAACAAAGACCAGCCCTCCTCAGTTTTCTAAGATCAGCCTAAGTTGGCACGTTTTCTTCACTTAACTAGGCCCATGTAAATGTGTAACATAGTAAATCTACACTCTCCGGAATTTCACATATTTCAATAGTATAGATCTTAAAACAGAGCTCGCTAGGGATAAGGAAAGAAAAATCTTTATTATAAATTGCAATATAAAGTGGTCTGATCAGTTGCCACACTTGATGCATTGGGGCTTTCATTCATGAGAGTGCAATATAAAGAAGTAGCCCTAATTCCATTGCACCCAAATAAGCTGCTATAGGAGCAGTGGAGAAATGCTACTGGTTCGCGAATCGATAGTAAAAAAAAGCTACCGGTTCCTCCAAAGCTGTATTTCCGACGATTAGCTGTGCTGCGTGATTTAAAATCGCTAGAAAGCAGGAAATCCTGCTTTCTAGTGAATCTAAATCACAGGGCACAACTGATCCCCCCTTGCTGCTCTACTTACCTTCCCAAGCCTCCTTTTAGCGTGAACTGTGCATGTGTGCACATGTAACACATTTGGTATGCACTGTGCATAAATGTGCAGTGTGTTTGGTGCACGGCATGCTTGCATGTGCATGTAGTGCACGTTTGGCACGCAGCGTGCATGCGTGGCCAGTGAACTGGTGGCAAACTGATTCAGATTTCACCACTGTGTAGGAGTATAGCAGGTTAAACAGCAAGTTTTTTCAGAAACTGGGCTGTATGGGATCATGGATCAAACTCATCCTCCTGAATTTCTTCTCATCCTAGCCTTCTCCAACCCTGGACAGAAAGAGAAAAATAGCCTGGACAATTTGTCTTAATTCAAGAAGTAGTTAGCTATACAAGAAGTACCCATTTCCTGTATGTTTCTAAATGCCTTCAAATGTCACTGACAAGTAGAGACTTGCAGACAAACAGCATACTAGGCTTATCTCAGAGAAACCAGGCTCTGTGTCCTAATAACAGAGCAGGAGCTGAGAAATAAGTAACACACAACTTCCCCAAAATCTTAGCTCTTATAGTTGCAGACAGATTTGCATCTTATCACAATATTCATTAATTAGGCAATTACATAATTATTGAATTAACTATGTCAAGTACCCAGCCTATTTAACATACAGCAAATTGTTCATTCACTAATACATATCTTTGATTCTCATCCTTTGCTGCTCTGTGTTAATTGTTTGAAGAAATAGATAGATTAGCTCAGGCAAAAGATTTATGAGTTGATGGTTAAATGTTTACTTCCTTCTTGCTTCTTAGGATCAGGTTTGCTGTCCAGGATCTTTATAGTAAAATGAATTACTTGTTTTTCATGCTTCAAAAATCTGGTAGACTGATAGCTGGTGTCCAGAAGTTTGATGCTACAGCTTCTCCTCAACTTACAACCATAATTGAGCCTGGAATTATGGTTGTAAGTTTTTGTGGCCATAAATCAAGGCACCCATGTGACCTAAAGCAATTTTTCAGACTTTTTACAGCACTTGATGTGAACATGGCGGTTGTTAAACGAATCCATTCATTTGAATGGGCAGTTTTTTTCCTGGAAATCAGCAAAAAATGCCAGAACCAGCAGCAAATATTGTGAATCACAATCATCTGACAGCAGAACTTGAAGGTTAACAACACGCAGTCACATGACTGTGATGGCAAAATGACCATTTATAACTGATTAAGAGGCAAAAGGTCCAAGTCATAGAAAATTGGTTACATTTGAGATCTTAGTCAACTTTTTTGGCCCTAAGGCTCTCAAGGTCCCCAAATTCTCATGAAACTCTATAATTGTTTTGGGGGGGACTGATTTAAAGATGGGTCAATTCCTTTTTCATATTATCAAGAGATATTTTTATCAAGGGTGGCTGGACTGGGTCATGATCCCCCTGAACTGGTTTTCTATGTACTTCGTTTTCTTAGCAAAATCCAAGCATTCTATGATCCACCATCAATACATATTCTTTAAATCACTATTCATGTTATAGAGTGTCATTTTGAAATACCCTTTTCATATTTGCATATTTTTACAGAATGCTTACATGAATATTTGTCAAAGGTGATTGGTTTGTAATTGGCTTTCACTGATGTTTGATTAACAATGTATGCATTTGGGTTTTCAAAACAATTGACATGGACAGAACTTTTAGATACTGGCAATATCACTGATGGATTCAGATTCCCTAGAAAATATTTGTGTGTCTGGTCTGTCTGGTTACATGGTTCATATAATCATAGTCTTTGTAGTGTCTGTAGTACTGTTTGATCTAATGAATTTAGTATATTTTTATATTATTTTCACAGATGCCAAACTGATACAAGCATGCTCATAAATAAAATTACCAACAATATGTTTTTTTACATTTTGGATTAGTTTACAAAATTGCTATATAAAATTAAACAAAGAGACTCTGAGTATATTTATTTATTAATAGTACTTTTAAACCTGCTGTATCATTGGATTTGTATACATCATGATTACAACAGCCTATTTCTATAGTTGCTGCCATAAGGAGCCAAAATTGGTAAAAAAATAAACATAGAACTAGAAAATAAAGTGGATGTCCTCAGAAATGAAATTCAGATATGAACAATCATGCAAAAGTAGGAAAACTTATCTACCCCATTAAGAAGCATCATTTTAAATGGGATTGCTTTTTGGTTTATCTCAATGAAATGGTTTAATTTTCTACACTTGTAAGTTGTCACACAAATTCATTTAACATTTTAGGGGGTCACAAAGTTTGAATGTTTCAAGTGATCTAGAGCATCCCCACACACAGTCCGTGTTTATATACGTAACAACTTTTCAGTCTGTTCCTCTATTAAATAATTAGCAGAATATTGCATTGGCTTTTTTGGCTGCTGCTAGCTCATATTTAAGTGTTTGTCCACTAGGACTTACACTTAGGCAAGAAAATCCAAAAGTACACATATAGACTAGGTGAAACCAGGCTTATTAGCAGTAACTGTGAGAGGGAACTTGGAGTCTTAGTGGAGAACCAGTTAAATATGAATCAGCAATGTGCAGTGGCAGCTAAAAAAGCCAATGCAATCCTAAATTGCAATAACAGAGGGATACAATTAAGATCAAGTGAGGTAGTAATACCACTCTATAAAGCCTTAGTAAGACCACACCTAGAATACACTTTTGGTCACTATACCATAAAAAAGATGTTGAGACTCTAGAAAAAATGCAGAGAAGAGCTACCAGGATGATTAGGGGTCTGGAGACTAAAACTTTTCAAGAACGGTTACAGGACCTTGGCATGGCTAGTCTAGAAGAGAAGGACCGGAGGAGACATGATAGCAGTGTTCCAATATTTGATGAGCTGCCACAGAGAGGAGGGGTCAAGCTATTTTCCAAAGCACCTGAAGGCCAGACACGGAATAATGGATGGAAACTGATCAAGGAGAGATTCAACCTGAAAATAAGGAGAAATTTTCTGACAATGAGAACAATCAACCAATGGAACAGCTTTCCTTTGGAAGTTGTGGGAGCTTCATTACTGGAAGCTTTCAAGAAGAGATTGGACTGCCGTTTGTCACAAATGGTGTAGGACAGTGAGGGTGAACCTTTTAGACACTGAGTGCCAAAACTGTGCTTCTTGCATTCTTGGACAGGACGGCAATGGCACTGCAGCAGCTTTTTTGGCGCGTTTGAGACCTCTGGTAGTTTTAGGCAGCCTCCGGCCAGCCGCCACCTCTTTGAGAGCCGCTTTGCCCACCGGGTTCTGTGGGCGTGGCTTGGGGGGTTATGTGACATGGCCATGAGT